TAACATATGATATGTGTTTATGATTCCAAATGAATTGTCTAAAACTTTAATTCATTCTCTTTATCATCTTATTACCATTACTTTTGCATCATCTATTCATTTGGATTAAACTATTTGAAAAAGATAAATATTCCTTCAGCCATACCTGTCTATATTCTTTTTTCTTCAATATTAGCATTCTAAGGGAAATAATAAATTAATTTTGCATCTTATTGATCCTTGATTAATTTTTAATCAGATTACTTATTCAGATGGTTTTGGAACTGTAGGAACTGCTAAAGGATTAAACATAAATAAGGCTTTCAACTAGAAATCAAATTAAAGATGGTCTTAATTCATCTATTTAATAATTAATCAATTGATTTAATATAAATATATGGATATCATTTTATTAACATGCTGCATACAGGACAGATAAAAGAATGCTATAAATGATTTATTATGCACTCATAATGAAATACATGGTTAGTTTTACATTCTAACTAAATCATGAATTCTTTGATCTAAATTGGATGTTAACATAATTAGCATTTGTCATAAATTTAATCAGAAATCATTTATTTCTTTTATAATCGCTTTTAGAGATTATATCTTCTAAATCTTTTAGCTAATTTTCCTATTGATATTAGTATTAAGATAAACGGAAATAAAAATGGTGTGATAAATATGTATGAATATTTTATTATATACTAAATATTTCTTTTGATTGAAAACCCAACAAATCCAATCATTATTATTAATTCGTCAATCTAAAAATAATTTTATTAACAATTTATTATCAATATCAAAATTGCAGAAAATAAAAGAATAAAGTCTAATAAGTGTTCAATTTTTTGGAAAATTTATTGACTGAAATCTAACTTAGTAAATATTTCTGGAAATAAAATTCCTTCATTTATATGAGTTATTTCATTAGCTTATGTCTAATTCTCAATTCCTGTCAAATCTTATAGTTCTATATCATTTTCTTATTTTTAAATTACATTTTTCCATAGTGCAATTATTATATGGTTTTCATTCATAAGCCGAATTTATTAGTTGATTTAAATAGCATTTAGTAAGTAGAAAATGAATAATGAAATTATCCATACATTGTAGTAAAAATGTAATTTAAGGTTATTTGACTCTAAATCATTAAAGTTTCCAAGAAATATTACAAGTATTATAAAGCAAAAAAGACAAGAACACTTAAATTACTTATTGATCTATTCTTTAAAATTATTTATTTTCTCTTCAAATTACTAATTAGAGTCTTGTTTTATCAATTTTAAGGTTGCTGAATCATGTTACATGATAAAAATTAATAATAAATTATATCATTTAGTTTAAAGCATTTCTAAATATTAAAATAACATTAAATTAATAAATCTTAATGAATTATATAATATTTTTTTTCATTTTTCTAATTATATTTCAAAATCTTTATATCTCATATTTGTTATCAATATTTAAAAAATGTTCATCTTTTTAAATGAAACCTATATCAAATGCTATAACTAATATTTTATTAAATAAAAATAATTAAATTTATAGAATTAAGAATTCCTAAATCATTAATGATATAATTAATTATAAATATTTGTTTTTATTCATGCCTATATTTCTTTCTTTTTATGATTAAATATCAAGAGAAATTAATATTTAATATTTGTATTATTTCAGTATTTTTAACAATAATTAAATAGATCAAATATGAGAAGAGTTTAATCAGCTGCCCCAAATTTAGGTAAAGATAACTTATTATATCTTTAGAATTTTCAATGGAAGATATGTTTAAAATAGCTACAAAATAAACATCTGCTTTTGGTATAGAAGGATATGAAGTTCCAAAAAAATATGCCGATCCACTTAAATAAATGGAAGAAAGAAAATTTTCAGCATAAAAAAAAGGTATTTATTGCAAATTTCATAACAAGGTTAAAAAAATTTAGGTTATGTGACTAAAAGAGGACATTATTTAGAAGATCAAAAGAAAATTTATGAAAAACTGCCTGCACCAAATAAGTATGATATCGTTAAGCCTTGGGTGATTTAGGCTTAAAGCACACGATCAAGGTCAGCTCCACCTAAAAGGTAGTTTTATCTGTAATAATTAGAACAACTTTCATTGACTAAATATTTAAGGAAGCAAAATTAAGAGGTGTTCCAGGTTCTGGAAAATATAATATAGAAAAACCATTAGATGAAGTATTGAAATAAGTAGAAGAATAAAAAAAGAAAAAAATTGAGTATTCTCAATCTATAATTATTATTAGGGCCTCTGATAGACCAACTTACTTAAATGAAATATAACATTTAGCAGTAATTAATCCAGGTCCTGGTAATTATAATCCAAGAGTATTATCTCTATTTTATATAAGCCAATATCCAAAAAATTGAAGAAAAATGAAACCAAACCTTCTGATTTTATAGCTAAACATTAAGAGTAGGCCAAAAAAAGAGGAAAATCAGCATTACCTGATGTAGGCTCTTATAATCCTGAACCTCTTTCATTTACAACATTTAATAAATTATAAGTAAATACAAAAAAAAAAGAAAGAGTAGATAAACATGTATTTCCTTAATTAATTCATTTAGACTTTTGGAACTGATGAGAGATTTAAAGATCCAAAAAAGAGTAAATCAAAATAATCCTTATTACCTGGACCTGGACAATACCCTTTAATTGTTTAATGGCAAGGTAAAGAACAAGACAAATCAAAAGCAAAGATAAAAAATTATATGTAATCCACTACTAAGGGAATACAAAGATCAATATATTATTGACATTACGATTATATTTTTATTTAATTTAATTCGATTATTCTATTATTAGTTAAATGATAAAATTCTGGAATTGAATTTGCTAATATAGATCATTCATTTTTTTTTAATTTATTCTTTAATCTAAAGAATAAAAATTTTAAGAATAACTATTAATTTAATAAATATTAAATTTATTTCAATAAATATTTTCCTTTCTTTCTCATTCTAAAAACTCTTTTAGTTACAACAAAACATGCTTTAAAAACATTATTTTGTCATTCAACAATCTTTTTAATATTGACTTACATATATTTACTTTATTACTTTTTTAATATTTTATTAAATTTAATATTTTTAGAATTTAAATGAGTTATAAAATTAGTAATAATTTTTAAAAAAGCACAAAATCATGTTCCATTATTATTATGTTTATGGAAATTAATAATTAGAGTTGTAGATTGTAAATAGTTAAATTAAAATGATGTTATGGAATTAAATACTTAATATTAGTCATTTTTAGCTGAAGCTTATTTGGATTATGGATTTAGCTTAATTATTTTGATTATTATTAGTGAAGTTTATCACAAAATTACTAAAATTTATACTAAATTAAATAATATATTTAACAAATTTAAGATAAAGTTTTATTTATTAGTAATTTACTTAATTTAAAGTTTAAGATGGGTTTTTTTAATCAATAAACTTTTAGAGGGTCAAAATTGAGAGTTAGGTTTATATATTATATTCTGATTTCCAATTTTTAACTTATATGATAATCTGTATATAAGAAATGGCTATTAAAAATTTGATGTATAATATTTAATTATGATATTGATATAAATATGAATCTTGATTTCAAAGATTAATAATTTATGTTTAATAATAAAATCAAGCAGATGTATAATTTCCAACTTAATTTTCAAGTTCTGCTAATTTTTATGTTGCAGCTATTATCAATTACTAGATTTGACTCTTTTCTTTTTTTAATTCTGTGATTTAGCTTTACAATTTAGAATTCTCATCTTTTTAAGTATTAATTGCCTATTTAAATATATAAATTACTTATCTTAAATCTCTTAGCATTGCATCTAGAGTTGGTTAAGTAGTATTCTTAATTTCTTCATTATTATTTGTTATCCTTTACTTCATTAGATGTAATTCTTATTTTAATTGATCAATTTCATGTTTGTAGCTTTACAGTAATTCATTAGATAACTCTGTAACATTCTTTTAGTTACACAAGATTAAATACATTAACTAATAACAAGTGATTTTTAGCATTAGTGGCTGATTCTTAATCTAATTTAGAACTATGTGGCATTTGTTATTAAAATTCAGACATTTTATTAAAAATTTATTCAAATAATTCTTAGAAAATGCAAAGGACATCAAAAGAAAGAAAAGGGAAATCCTTTTTTTTTTTTGATTTCCAAAAAATCATAATTTTATATATATTTTGATTTGATATTTAAAAATCAAAGGCATATTTGGAATGTTTCAAGTGACTTTTTGCTTGATGATTCTCTTTTGTCCTTTTTTTCTTTATTCTCTTTTTTATTTGTGTGATCTTTTTATGATTTACTTTTTGATTTATCTTTAGGTCCTTTATAATTGATACGATATCTATGTTTTTTATATTGTTTTTCTGTTTCGAATATTTTGTCACAATGATCACAAGTTAAGGATACTTTCATTTTATTTGATTTTTCGATAGATTTTCCAATTTTCAAAACAGTTTTTTCTTAATTTTATTTTTCTTCTTCGATTTCATCAATTTGTTATACTCTTTTTTCTATTTATGATTGAGTATTTGTCTTTTCTGGAGCCTTAGAAAGTGGATCTTAGTTAATTTAAGGTAATCTATCAATTTCTTCATTTTCCATTTATCGATTTTATCCTTCATTGTTTGAAATTTGAGATTGAAGTGTATCTATTTATGAAGAGAGATCAGCACATTTTTCATAAAGCATGGCAACTGTTTGAAAATGTTAAGTTAAAGGAATATATTTCATTTAATTAATGATTTTTTAGAAAAGTGGAAGGTCTTTTAATTCTCCTTTTTCCTGAAAATAATTTTCAAGTGTATTTTTGGTGAATTTGGAAAAAAAAAAAGAGGATTAAGAAAAAAGACAATTTTTAGAAGGATTGTAAAATTTAATAAGTATTAATATTAATTTGAAAACAAAAATGATTATAAAAAATAATATATATAAAATTTGAAGTAAATAAACCAAAATTAATAATTTTGTAAATTGTCATTTAATTATTTTAAGTTTTTATTATACTTCTTTAATTTTTGTAATTTTTTCCTAAACTCTCTCCTTCCATTAATCTTCATACATTTTCAAAATTAATAATACTTAATCAAATTCATTTTTTTATTTCTACTTTTCTTCTATTTTAAACAAGATGAAAATTATTTTAAATTATTATTCTCTTTCTTTTAATTAATATTATTTTTTTTATTAAACATTAAAAATCTTTTTATCTTATTAAGTAATTCTATTTTTTAGGGATTTGAATATTTTCAACTTCAATATATAATTATTATCAGAGTATTAATAATTTAGATTGTCTTTTACAAATTTCTGCCGATCATTAAACAGCTAATTTATTAAAAATAGAAGTAAATTAAATTTTTTTTTATCACAATTTCATTCTTATGTTGTCTTATATTATAAATAACTTCTAATGCTCTTTTAAATAGAAAAGTATTTAGTTTTGAGATTTCTGGAATCTTTGAATCTCTTCATTCAAATACTCTATCTTCTTAACATAAATGTCAATTGTTTGAGATAATTATATTATCCTTCTCTCTAACTACTTTCTTTTAATTGATATTCTAATTCTTCATTCTTATCTTTCAATTTTATCTTATCTTTATTATTTATGAATTGAATCTCTACTTTGACTAATAATCTAAGATGTTTCTAAATAAGAAGAACTTTGTTTGGGTCTAATAATTAGTTTTTTAATAAGTGGATATTATCTTCTTGATGAAACCTATTCGATTCATTATTTAATAAGTGTGTGCCATATTCTGTTTCATAATAATTATATTAAATAAGCGTATATGTGTGGTTATTTGAAATTAAATAAAATCTTTTTTTATTATTCATGGGTATTTCAAGAGATAGCAGACACAAAAGAAGACTTACAGGTGGTCGTATGCCAATTCATAAAAAGAAGAGAGCTTTCGAGAAAGGAAGACAAGCTGCTATGACTAAATTAGTATCTGGTGAAAAGAGAGTTAGAAGATTAAGAGTTAGAGGAGGAAACTTTAAATTCAGAGCTCTTCGTTTATCAGATGGAAACTTCTCTTGGGGTAGTGAAGGTGTTGCAAAAAAAGGAAAGATTGTCGAAGTTGTTTATCATCCATCAAATAATGAATTAGTCAGAACTAAAACACTCACTAAAGGTGCTATTGTATAAGTTGATGCTACACCATTCAAATAATTTTATTTAAAGAAATATAATATTGATTTGGGAGCTAAAAAGACTTAAAAGAAGGTATATTTTATAAAATTACCTTTAGGATTAACCAACAACTTAAGAAGTTAAGAAATCAAATTCATTAAAAAAGAAACTAGAAGCCAGATTGAAAGATAGAGTTATTGATAATTTAGTTGCTGAATAATTCTAAAATTAAAGACTTCTAGTCAGAGTTACATCAAGACCAGGATAATCTGGTAGAGCCGATGGTTATATTCTAGAAGGAAAGGAACTAGAATTTTATATTAAAAAGATCGAATAAAAGAAGAAATGAGTTTTTCTCTATTCATAGTACATTAGTAATAGATTTATCAAGTAGTATTTCTTTAATTCTTTCTATAACAGTTATACTTCAGTTCTGATTAAGTTATTATATGTTATCGCTCATTATTTCTTACTTTTATATAATAAACTATTTTTTTTATCTTTTAATAGAAAATATACATTATATGTTTGTAAATTACCATTCTCTAAGAGCTCTTAGAATATTACAATTTTTAAATTTAATATTTTAGTAATAATAATTTTAGTATTATAATTTACCCTGTTAATTATTAAATAATTTTAGAAATTAATTCAATAAAATCTAAGTTTGCTAAGTTGCTACATTTGATATTAATTTATTTTAAACTCATTTAAATGCCAAATTTTCAATCTATTAGTGATGCTATCAAAAAGTTTAATGTTTACACTAGACCAGTCAGTTTATTATTGTTAAAAGAACAAGGTCATAGAACTTATTTAGGAGTTTTTCTTACATCAATATTAGTGAGTTTAGTAGTTTTGGTTTATTATAGTGGTCTTGTATCACTTATTGTAAGAAATAACCCTAGCGCAATTAGTTATACAACCTATTCTGAAGATTAGAAACCATTTTATTTGGCTCCTTAAAATTTTAGCATAGCTATAGCTCATAAAGGTAATGACCTTATGACTTCATACATCCTAGAGGGATCAATTGGTTAAATAGATGGGTAATAATATTATTTGATTTTATATAGGTTTACTATTCAAGAAATACCTCTGGCTAAATGTATCGATTTCGAATTTGATGATCCAACCCTAAATTCTTATTTTGATAAGAGTGATTAGATTTGGTATTGCATTGATTGGAAGTCTCTCAATTCAATTGTTTTAGAAGGAGGTTTAGAATCCTCCAAAGATAAATCATTATAAATCAAAGTTAAATAGTGCACATCTGCGTAAATTATAAAATTTATAAGAAGGACCTAATGCATTACACCTAATTTCCAAGATAGTGATTAGTTTTTGCTAAAAATGACATCAGCCAACACAGACATTTCAAATTTCAAAAAGCCTGTTACTTTAATTGGAAAGTCCTTTTCAATTACTTCAATGTTAAACTATACTAAGAAACTCAATATTATATTATAGCCTTAATTAACTTAAACTGATAATGGCTATATTGTATAAGATTAATATGAATAAACAGTGTTATCCATTTCTAATTATTATGAAACAATTCAAGATAAAGGTTCAGATTAATAAATATTTCAAATAAATATATCTTTAGATCAAAAAACTAAAGTAACATAGAGGTCTTATCCTAGAGTATATTAATATTTAGGAGATATTGGAGGTTTTTGGGAAATTATTTATTTATGTAGTTTATTATTCATTATGCCTTTCAATAATTTATCATATAGAGTATCCTTATTAAATGAATTATTCAATTTTGAAATGGATTATGATAATAAAGTACATCCTGAGAATAAAGGTAAAGCAAAAGTGAGAGAAATTTTAAATAAATCAGTTTAATTAGAGAAATTTAATAGAATGTCAAAAGTAGCTGAACATGATGTATAATAAAAATCAAAGTTGTTAGATTAGATTTCTAGTGATATAACTTAATTTTTTAAAGAACAAGAAAGTCGTCTTGAACTTTAATTTTTTGATTATTTTGGATGTTGCTAATGTAGAAAAGGAGGTAAAAGAGATCTGATAAATTTTTCAATGGGAAAGATCACACATACTTTAGATATAACTTATATAATAAAGAAATTATAGGAAATAGATAAATTAAAATTGATATTGTTGAACTCAGATCAAATAAAATTATTTGATTATTTACCTAAACCTAAATTAGGTTTGCATATGAAGGCAAGTGAAAATGAATATTGTTCAATATTAAAACCTGAATAATCAGATTTAGATAAAGCATTAGAAGCTTAGAAAGCATTTTAATAATTGTAAGATTAGGAAGATGAAATAACACCTAAATTAGTAAAACTACTAGATGAGGATCTTGTTGCTTTATTTAGATTATAATTAAATAAAGGAGTAAATAGATCTTTAAAGAAAACAGGGTAATTAGCTGATGCAGTATAATAATTAATTATAATGAATGCAAAAGAAAAAGAAATGGAAAAGATAAATAAAAAGAAAAAGAAGAAATCTAATAATTCAGAGAATTCTGATTCTTCAGGTTCTGAAAATTGAATTAATATTAAAAATAATCAAATGACTGAATTTAAGTAAGATTTGAATAATTCTTAGCTTTATATTAACTTCTTGAAATTTTCTTTAACTTACTAGGATTTTTTCTCTAAATTCAACTTTTTTTCTAAACTTGAATTATTTTTTCGTATATTCTTATACTCTTCTAATAAGCTTGGGTATTGGGGATAAAGATGTTAATTTTCCTATATTAAATTCATACATTTATTAATTAATCTAAAAAGTTATTCATTTGTTTTTTATTAATGTTTTTTTTATTTTGTAATAAGTTGCTTAAGTGTTTTTATTGTTATATTTTTATTATTCTTTTGATATGAGACTGTATTAAATTCTGTTGTTTATATAGTTGAACAAGATGTTGAAAAGCAATTTTGTATAGAATAACATCCAGAATCAGTAGTAAATTTCTATTTTTGTTTATTTGTACAAATTTAACTTACTGATTTAGTTTTTAATTGTCTATGCATTTTTACATATTCAATGAGATTGCGAGTTTGCTGGTTTCGATGAATTCGAGCATCAATCTAACTTGATTTAAGTGAAATTGAGTATTTTTTAAGAAATTCCAATTTAGAACTAACGAATTCTCTACTTACCACAGACAATTCCTAAACCATAGTCTCTATTATTGGAACCAAAATTACAAATTCCTCATCAAGAGTAGCACATTAACTTAATATTGATTGCATTTTTATTTAACGAACAAATAATTATCAAAGTATGAAACTCACAATTGCGTCATTATTATAATAATGAAATTTCTACAAATAGCCCTACTTTTTACAATAACACTATGTTAAAGCAGATTATCAATAGATGTATATACAGAATCATTATGTCCTGATTGTATGGAATTTCTATTGAATTCTTTGACTGAAGCAATTGATACTCCAGATATTGAAGAAATGGTTCATATAAGAGTAATTCCATATGGAAATGTTAAAAGAGTATTTAATTTAGCTACAGGAAAATGGTAATTCACATGTCAACATGGAGCTGTGGAATGTTATGGAAATTATGTATAATTATGTGGATAGAACATATTGGCATCTAAATATCCTACTAATAATGAAATCCTATAAGTTTAATGGGCAATTTGTATTGACAGAAGAATATTCAAACCTTATACAAATACTCGATTTGATGAAGCTGCTAGTCTATGTGCAGCTGATTTTGGTATTTCAGGAACTGCTGTCAAAGAATGTGCTAATGTATTATTTATTAAAAAATTAAGGGTGATTAAGGTTACAAATTACATTTAGCAGCAGCTGAAGAAACAGACGGTCTTTCACCAGCACATTAATATGTTCCTTGGATAACAACAAACAAGAGACATAGTGTAACTGATGAAGATCTTATTTTGGAAGATTTAGTATCATGGGCTTGTGAAAATTATAAAGGACAAAAAATTGAAGCTTGCACTACTAGAAGTGTTTGATTAATAAAAATAACAAATTAGTCATATTATGAAATTGTAATCTGGTTTTTTTACTTTGTGTTTAGATCTAATAGATCAATTTTATATATATTACAAGAGATTATTGAAACATTCCTTTAATTCATTGGTTGTATAAGGTAAAATTTCATACATTTTTGGAGTATATTCTTTAATTTGAATGATAGGAGGCTTTAACACAAAGCATTAATTCTATTATTATACTAATTCTGGTAATTTCATTCTTGAAGGAGTAATGTATGATCTGGATATTTCTGTTAAAGATCTTTTGGTTTTGTCTGATTTTGCTATTATTGCTTTTCTTGAATTTGGTTCAACTGAAGTGTAATTGATATCATAATCAGGTAATGTAGGTAATTATTTGGCTTTAAGTTTGTCCTGGGATGAACCAAAGGCTATATTAGATTTCAATTTTTTCTTCTTTTTTTTCTACAACCATAGACGACTGTAATCTAATGGCTATCTCATTACAAATGAATTAAACCTAAGTTAAACATTACTTAGTTAAGAGTTTTGCATAAATTATAAAATATAAGTATTTATTCATTTCTTCTTCTTCCCCTTCTTAGTGGTTTTTTTGGGTTTTAATTTTTCATTATTCTTATTAACTTATTCAGGTTACTTATCATTCTCAGCCTTCTCTTCTTTTTCATTAATCACTTATTGTTATTGTTGTATCTATTACTCTTTCTCAGCTTAATTATTCTATTCAAATTATTATTTCTAAAGTTTCATTAACTCTTCTCTCAATTATGCAGTCTATTTCTCAATATCCTCTCCTTTTGCTTTCTTATCTGCTATTGCATCTTCCAATTTAAATTATTCATCTTTAAATTTCTATTCCTAAGCATCTAATTCCTTTTATAATCTTTCAAATTCCTATTCTAATTCCTTTCTTTTCTAATATACAACTTAATAATCATTTCTCTAAGCATCTAATTCTTATTATTTTAATTATTTTGATCTTTCAAAGTCAGCCTATTTATCTTCTATTATCTTCTTCTTCTTCTCTATTTAATTTAATAAATCAGTAATTCTCTCTTATAATCCAGCTCTTTTACTTTATTCTTATTATTTAATTCTTTCCATTTCTACTATAACTTATGATTTCTTATCTTCAATTTATAGTATTTCCTTCTCTTATTATGACAACTTATCTTTTGCTATTTATATTTTCTTCTATTCATATTTCAATCTATATATTTCTGTTCTAATCTTACTTGGCTCTTTTTCTTCTAAAATCTTTTAATTCCTCAACAATATTTTCTGAATTCTATTCAAACAACACAATGATAATCTATTACCTGTTACTTATAAATCTATTATAACTTAATTCTTCTCTATAATCTCCAAAATCAACTTCTCAACTTTCTCACTTATATAATTATCATTAGCCTTTAAATGAGTAAAATTTGTTGATTCTCCAATGAATGTTAAAAATGTCATAAACTAATTTATATATTTTCATTATATACTCCTTAATCTGCAACTCTACTTGATGATACATCTAATTTCTCCATTATCCTATTATTACATAACATAATCATAGATTCATCACCCAATAAATTCTTTGATAAATTTAAGATTTTAATCTGACTATTTGGTAACACATCAGCTAAATATCTTATTCCATCAGGTGTAATATCATTCAAAGATATATCTAATTCTTATAAAGATTCACTTTCATATATTGCAGCTGATAAAACCTATATTCCTTCATCTCTAATTTAATTTCCTTTTAAATTTAATGAAACCAAACCAGATTACTGTTAAATTATTCCATTTGCTAAATATTCTACTCCTTTTGGACCTAAATCATTAAATTCTAAATTTAATCTCTTTAATGTTCTATTATTCATCAAATACTCCTAAAATTTTATTGTTGGTCTTATATTATTCTTAGACAAATCTAAAGATTCTAAATTTTAACCATTTAATAAAATAGTTTCTATTCCTGCTATTTTCAAATCATTTTCTGCTATCTTTAAATGTTTAATATTCTAATTGGTTTTTAATGCTTAACCAATAAATTCTCCTCCTGCAGTAGTTATCACATTATCTTATAGTTTTAATGTTTCAATCTTTTTATTTGACAATAATAATTAAGCTATATGTTTTGCTCCTTCAAAACCAAGAGCATTCTTTCTAATACTACCATCCAAAACTCCCAAATCTAAAGATTTTAATGTTTAATTCTTGCAGAGATCATCTATAATCTATCCCAATCCTATATGACTTATCATATTAGAAGCTAAATTGAGATTTTTTATTTGGGAGTTAGCTAATAATGTTTTTATGGCATGAACTGCATAATCCCCTAATGTATTATCTGCTAGATTGATTGTTGTTTAGATAGGCTTTTAATTTGCTAAGGCAATTAAAGTTGTAACTCCTAATCTCATTGAATATAAATTCAATACATCAGGAAATTTTTTTGAATTGATTTTATTGAACTCCTCTTTAAAGATTTTTGCCTATATATTATATATAATATACTCTTTCAATTGATACAGTTTCACCTGTATCATGACATCTTGCATTAAAGAGTTCTGCTTATAATTCATCTAAAACTAGAAATGCTGGATTTTTTTAAAATATTTAAGGCAAATTAGATGGATCTCCACCATATGCAATTAATTTTTATTGTTTTAAGAATTCAATTTCTTTTGTATATTCATTTGTTGCTAATTTTGGTTTGGCTGTTTAAGGTCTCATAATTTATTAATTATAATACTCATTTTTATAATTCTTTAAGTGTGAATATTACTAATTTCAAGCAATCATCTAATAGTTTCTCAAATGAATCAAATTGATTTTTATTTGTTCTGACATTCTAATACAATTCTATAACTTCTCCAATTTTTTTTGTTAATCTTTCCAATTTATTTGCACTCAAATCATCTTAATATAGTTCCTAATTTTTGATAATTTTATTAACAAGCTCTTAGATTTCATTCTATTAGATATAGATTTCAGAACTCTTTGTTTTATATTACAAATTTAAATACAAAATTACTAAATGAGTTTATCTATATAAATATATATTAATTATACATTTAATCTAAATGAATTATTTTTGTTTATAATAACTCTTTTTTAGTATTTAATTCTCCTGATTCATTATTACTTTGTAACCATTTTGTTTCATAAAAGTTCTTTATTTTCTCAATATAACGCTATTGTTATATTAATGAATAATCTATATTGACAATTTATTCATAAAATGATTATGGGTTTTCTAAAAATTTAATAATAATCTAATTATTAGGTAATTATTTCTTGATATCATTGATATAGATTTAAAATTTTTACTTTCTTAATTTCAATAATTATGTATTTTCTTAAATAAAGCTAAATAAATAAATAACCCCAAATTCTTTTTAAGGTAATGGTTTTTATAGAATTTCAGGTTATGTCTTAAATAAATACTCAGCTAATAACACAAATTCTCCATATCTTCTGTTAACTATGATATTGCCTGTTTTTATTGGGTAATAATAATGACCATTTATATACACAGGGTCATCAACTAATATAGTTTAGCTGATTTATTATTATTAATCAGATAATAGATTGAATATTTCCTTATTTAATGAATTATCCTTGATAATATTTTTTATATTTGCATTAATCATTGCTTCAATATGTTAAGCTATAAATTAGTTAAAATTGATTACAATCCAATAAATTTTCCATTTATACTATTCTTTCTATTTTATTAAATATATATATTGATGAACATATAAAATATATATTTTAAAGATGTCTATTTATTTATTAGAAATAGTTTATTAAAACATTAAATATGATCTATTAGATAATATATTAAGGTTTGAAATAGAATAATAAGAATAAAAAAGATTAAAAAATAGATGAATATCATTAATTATGTAATTTTATATTAATAACAATTTTAAATCACTAATTTATTTATTAATTATCTTCTCCTATAGTTTAGAATTAGTTCTTTTTAGTAGACATCTTCTCTCTTTCCCTGCTGTTACTTCTTTCGCTTCTATAGTTATTTAATTTTGGACAATTCTTTTTAAAATGACCATTTTAATCACAATTATAACATCCACTTCTACCTCCTCTATCTCTCATTTGTCTACAATCATTTGCATTATGACCTCTTTTATTACATAAGGAACATGTAACATTATCTATATTATAATAAATTATATATTTACAAGATGATTCTTCATGTTTGACTCTTTCTTCTTCTCTCTTTACTTCCCATTATGAATTTAATTAATTTAATCTATCATCAGTTTCAGGAATAGGTTGTTTAGTTCTTTTGATATAATCCTTATTTTCTTGAGTATTAAAGTTTTTCTTTAACCATATGGTTATATCGTTTAGATTATTTTGCAATACAAAGTGGAGACTTAGACCTTCAGGTTTAACTTTTATTAACTCTTTTTCTACTTTATTCTTCTATTTCATATACATTAACACAATATATTGTGGAAACTTGTCAGTAACACAAAAACCATATGGTATAATTTTTTCATCCTTTTCTATATCTACTTTCAACTTATTTTCTAATTATTCCATTTTAAAATTATAGAATTTCTCATTGTTAACTGCAGCATCCATATGTAGATTGCATGGAGTAATATAGTTTTCATAGATTTCATCAAAAGATTCGTAAGCTTTGCCTTTCAAAACAAGTTGAGGTTTAAGTCTTTAGGCAAATTTTAATACTTAAACATTGAGATGAACAATAACACCTTCATGGAATTTCCATGTGATTGTTAAATGATCTTTAAGTCTAAAATTAGGTCTTATAATGTATTTCCCAACAGGTTAGCTTTCAATATATTCAAGAGCTCCTCTAAGAAGTACTAATTAGAATTATGGATGGTTAATATATCTGTGAATCGATTGTTCTCGTTATTTGTATTTGTTAGGCAATTCCGATGGAATAATTGGTTGATCAAACTCTTTTAATTTACTTAAATCAAAGGTTTGCATAACTTTATTACAATAATCACGATAACATATATTGGAATAAGGCCATGGATCATATTCAGGTGGTTTTAGATACTCTTAATCCCATTGATACCAATCAAGCTTCTATGATAATTCTATAAAAGGGATATTCAAATTAGGATCATTATTTTCTGTAGCTAGTATCCTCTTCACATAGACTTTAATAATTTACCCAATTCTAAATTCTTAATCTAACATATCTTATTAATATAGAGCACCATATAAACCATTATGTGATAATTTTATTAGTAATTATCACTAATCTTACAATTGTCTTGACCTTCTATTTATTTAATAATTGATCCTTAAACAATACTGTTTTAACGGAATGTATATTGAGATTCTTAAGTGATAGCATAGAATATCTCAGAATTACTCATCTCCGTATTTGAAGTATCAAATTTATAAAAGAAAGGATTTTCCAATTCTTCTTTAATGAATTGAGCTACTAAAGTAAAATTTTTACTTCCATCCCTCTGTTCTGTTAATTTAGCCCATTCTTCTATCAAGAGATCTTCCATCTTTTAAGGTTATTTCATCAATTCTCTAACAATAGTATTTTATCTATCATTTCTACCTTTAAATTCAAAAGCACAATTGGCTATATGTACAGCAACAGAATACATTTTAATTTACATTCTAGTTATGTCTAATGGTTAAATGCCTCTTTGAATTTTAATAAATCCTTAAACATTTTCGAATACAAACTTCCTTCAAAATTAATGTTTTTAGGATATCTTATCTTTAGATTTATATGTATTAATTTTAATCTTATTCTAATTTGGAATAGATTAATCTTTCATCTTCATAATAATTATTAAAGAGACTCTGACTTAATAGACCTTTGACCATAGTTAATAAATGTTTGGCTTATCTTCTTCCTAAACCATTGATGAATTACATTTAATCTGCCAAATGTTTATGTAGAGTACAATCAACTAAATCAACTCCAACTTAATTGACAATTTCAGTGGCAGTTTGTTTTAAAGCATCAAGTAATACTTATTAACTTACCATAGATTAAAGAGGATGTAAATCGAGATGTAAACAACCATTTTTATCAATTGAATCACTCCATAGATTTAAGACTTCGGCCATTGGATTAAGTTTATATCTGGCCAAAGAAATAGCCTCTTTCAAAATTTAAGGTATGTCTGGTAATTATAAATTACTCTTTTCACTCATACTATAAATTCTTGAGATTTATGAATCTGCCAAAGTAATCCTAACAGAAGATGTCTATTAATATTTCTTAAGTAAATTATTTCTTAATTTCAAACAATCAGAGTGATTAGCAGAGATGACAATAAGATCTGGTTTATATTTTACAAAGAAATTATCCAATAAAGCTTATTCATTTCTGATTTATTCAAGCATTTCAGTTCTCCTTTCATCTTAGGTCAAATAATTAAAGATTTGGAGTGCCTATTATTCACCTTTATAATCTATAATTGACATTCCAATATATTTATTTTATATTGAACAATCTTGAGAATCAGCTTTGAGTACATTGCTATCTGTTTATTCTTATCCAATAACTAAAGACATGATTTTGACATCAGGATTAGTAGTTTATTACATTTATTAATTATTTCCAACTTAACTCATATGAGGTTGTTTATTAATAAGTTATTTGAATTTTTATTAACACATTCTCACAATATGTTTGGATGAAAGAGATTTCAAATTATATTTAATTTATCTTTCTAAAATAGGATACAATATTTCTTGTAAAATACCTCTAAGCATGAGATCTCTAAATTTAATAATATTTTCTGGCTCTTTTTAGGAATCATCTATATTTGCAAATTAATCACACAATAAAACCATTATATCATCTCTTGGAATCTTTTCTTTTTTGTGAACTTTATCTTCTGAGATTGAAAAATTAATTTTAATATATCCCAATTATTCTGCTCTAAGACATTACATCCAAATTTGATCTTCCATATATTTATATTATCTATTTTTAATTCTCTTAACTGGATAAAAGTAATTCACAACTGTAATTTCTCTATTACCTAATTAAGTTGGTTCTGTTGAAATAAGTAGATGATCTCTATATAGTTAATTTATAAAATTTCTAATGAAGGGATGATGATAGAGGTCCATCATCAAATACCTTTATAATAACTTGATATATTGAGAAGTGGAATTTTATGATTAAAACTCTGCAGTCTCTATTTGATGATTCCATAATTCCTTCAAATCTTCTATGAACTTTCTATCCACTTATACACTCTTTCCTTACAATTTGATGAAGAATTCATCTGAAGTATAACAAAACTTCAATGCTACTTAATCCACTTTCTATCTCACTCTAACATATCCTTCTCCATTGTATGAGGCTTCATTTTACTATTTAAATTAAGATTCTCTAATTCTTTAAGAATATTATCAATTTTAAAGGTCAGATATTCTTATTCTAATTCCATTGTTTAATCTTAGTTCATTCTCTAACCCAATAATTGTTTCTCCTAATTCTCTCTCAATAATTCCTATTCCAAATATACTATCCTCTTGCAATTATGTTTCATAATTATATAATCTATGTAATCCTTCAAATTCTACAAATCCTCTATTTATTTAGACTTCTTTAAATACATATTGGCTGTGTCTATTTATTTTTAATATTCATCAGGAATAGAGTCAATTAACTTCTCTATCCTATTCTTAAAATTACTAAAGTGTTCCCATTCATAATCTAGTTCCCTTATTTTCCAATAATGTTCCAACTGCAATTTTGAAGTTATGAGATGACGTTTGTAAGTATAAATATACATTATATCTAAGTTCTTTTATCTATAGAATTCCAAAATTAGTTTTATTCCAAACAAAATATCAACTAAATATTTTAAATCGAACTGAGTAGATATTTATTCTCCAATCCATTTCAATAATTCTAGAGAAGCTTCTTCTCTTGCATTTTACATTATCTAACCATTAGTCATCTTCATATAAGTAATTTAAATTGATTCAGGCACATCCTATTTAAGTATCTCTTCATCATTTTCGTTCAAGAATGCCATTTCTCTTTAACTTGGATCAAACAATTTATTTATTAACTCATTTTACTCATTCTCATCAATCTGCCCCTGTGAAAATTGATCTACTGGAGTATCTTTTAATTCTACTTCATCATATTCCTTTTCTATCTTCTATAGACACCTTTAATTTATCACCATCTTAATTTCTTCAATCAAAATCCTATCATCATCTGATAATTCTTCATTAAATGAATCGTCCTAACTTTAAACTATTAATTTATATATTACTCCTCTTATAACTCATCTGATGATATTTAGGATGAGTCCACAACAAAATTATCCTTCTCATAATCATTTTTTCTTTCTTCTTCTGAAGATTCAACATTATATTTCCTTTTCCCCATATTCTATTAAATTTAATGTATGTAAGAATCGTAACTTCATTGTTATTACAAAACTTTTACTATCATATTAATAAATTTTATTATGTAAAACGAAAGGTTGTAACGTCTCCTTAGATCTAAAGGTAGTTCCTACATTCCTTAAAATCCATAGGCTGTCTCCCCCTTCACCAGACAAACCCAAAATTCCACTATTCAATCCAACAAATATCTAACTAACTATGCCGTCTAAAAGTTATAAAATTAGTCAACTCATATTACTATGTAATTAATTTTTACATTCTAGAACACCCTCTACAGATAGAAGGATTATACCCACTCCTTCAAGACCGCCTATAAATATCTTACCTCATTAATCTTCATCAATCTCCCCTATTCGTGTTGTTTAATTGTCAACTGAAAGAGTCTAATAACCATAAGAAATTCATGAAGTACATCATTTTGAAAGGCCTATTTAAGTTGTTGCTGCAGAAGAAATGGAATACAAATATAAATTTAAAATTCAACAATTAGAATCAATGATCTATTAATTACAAGTAGAAAATCAAAGAATTAAAATTAATGGAGGTTATATTGAATAATCTATACCTATTGATAATACTTTTAAAATTAATGAATTAGAGAGAATCAATCAGAATTTAAGAACATAAGAAGAATAATAAAGAATTGAATTAAAATAACTAAAAGAAGAATTATAAAATTGGAAAGATAGATATAGTTAATTACAAAAATAATCATCAAATCAAAATGGATTCAATGAAGAATTGCGTTAATTGAAAAAATAAATATTTTAATTAGAGGAAGATAATAATGATTTATAATTACATTTAAGAGACAAAGATTAAGAAATCTTAAAATTAAGAACTATCTTAAATGAAAAAGATGATATCATAGATTAACTCAATGATTAAATATAAGAACTCTAAATAATACAAGAAAATTATAGTCGTGTTGAAACAACATTAATATCTTTATAAGGTGAGGTTGATGTTTGGAGAAAGAAATTCAAAGAAAAAAATGAAGAAGCATCAGAATTAAGTGAAAAACTTATAATGGCTGAAACATCTTTAGAAGCAATGAAAAAGAGATAAATTGTACAAGTCAAAGAAGTTAATGTTACTAAAACTAATAATAATAAAATTGGCACTTCTTTAGCATAATCTATTGAAGCACCAGGAAGATTTTCGACAAATCGTGGATCTCATTATTCAAACAAATAATAAAATTGATATTCATTTACTTATTTTTTATTATTTACTATTATTTTATTAAATATAAGTATTATAATTTATTAATTAGAATATAAAAATATCTAAAAATAATATTAATTATTATGAGAAAGGAAAGATTGTTTTAAAAAAGAAAATATATTTAATTTAACTTGAATAATTTTCATAAATTAAGAATTTAATTATAAAATGAAATTACCAAGTATTAATAAACCTACATCAGCTTAATCAGCAAATCGATAATTACCACCAAGGTAGAGTAATAATGCAATAAGCAATTTAGAAAAGAATTTATTTAATAAACTTAATGAATATGATGATTTAAACAAGATTGATACTAAAAAGATTTAGGTTACTGAGATTAAGTCTAATAAGAAAATAGAGAATTCTCATGATGAAATGGAATCATTTGCAAGAAAATCAAACACTTTGAAAAATTATAGTTAAACTGAGAAGTTTAAAGATTTGAAATCATCTTAATAAAAACAACATTAATAAGACACTGTGTTTCTCACTCATAATTAATAAGCAAAATCAGAGGAATCTAATAATGATTAGGATGATAATAATAGTGATAGTAGCATTGAAGATTTATTATAAAGGAGTAAAGTATTGGATAAATAGAAAAAAGTTATGTTAAATTTTGAAGATGATAGTGATGTTGGTTAATTGAATAAGATGTTATTTTAAAGTAAGATTAAAAAAATGTATAATGATAGCTGATATTGATTTAGATGAATAGTTTTAGAGTATGTGCATTTTGAAAAAAACTATTTCATAGATGTAAGATTCAATGAAATCTATGGGATATGGAATTAATGAGAAATTGATGGATGAGTTAAATTAATAATATGAAGAAATGATAAAGCTGCAAAGGGAATCCTAAGTAGCTAAGTGAAATTAATTAGGCAATTGAAGAATATTAAATGAAAGAGAGCAATTCAAAAAATAAAATGCCTGCTTTGCGTTCAAATAGTGTTAATTAAACAAAAAAATAGAAAAAATGACATAGATTTAAATATCTTTTATATTTATTATCATATATATATTATATCACTAATACATTTTATATTTTATTAATAAAAATGTAAAATCCAAATATTCCATAATATGAATTTGATATTACAATTTATAAGGATTACTTGAAGAATAAGATTATTGCATTATTGGAAACTATGCCTGGAAATAAATAACTAATTTTGAGTTAGAGAGTCTTACAATTACTTAAATTAAGCATTGAAAATAAATTACTATAAGAAAGTGGAGTCAAAAAAACATTAACAATAGAGAATATAAATTAAATAGAGAATGATATTACTTAGATCTTTATAATCATTCCACCAAAATTGGATGTAACAAGGAAGATTGCAAAAATGATTAAAGCTGCCAATGGTCCAAACAACACTTACAAATTGGTCTTTTGGCCTTCAAGAACAATACTAGCCAAAGAATTATTAGAATAAGAAGGAGTTTTGAGTAGTGTAGAAATTAAGGATTTTTCATTTGATCTTATTCCACTTGATTTAGATGTATTAAGTTTAGAAATGCCAGATGCTTTTAGAGATATGATGATTGATTAAGATTTATCAATTTATAATTATGTTGCAGATAGTATCAATAGAATATAAATTGTAATGGGCAATATTCCTAATATTTATTGTAAAGGAGATGGAGCCAAGATGGTTTATGATATTATAAAAGTAGAAAACTCATAATCTGATTAAAATCAAGACTCTTAAGAAGTAGAGTCATTGATTATATATGACAGAAGTATTGATTTAGTTACTCCTATGTTAACATAATTGGTTTATGAAGGATTGATAGATGAATAGTTTGGTATCAATGGAAACTTAGTAAGTCTACAAAAAAAAGTATTTGGAAAAGAAGGTTAAGAGGGAGAGGAATATCAAACATTACAATTAAATTCAGAGAAAGATCCTTTAATGTATAAAGTAAGAGGATTGTAAGTGGCATCTTTAGCTAAATATTTATATGAGTAAGCTAAACAATAGGAAGTGGAGAAGACTGAATTTTAGAAAGAAAAATAAGCTTCATTAAATGAGAGAATTGTATAATAAGCAAAGAAGATTAAATTAGAATAGGAATCAAATTCAAGACGTATTATATAATATTTATATATAGATCTTAATATAAGTGGTAAGATTGCAGAGAATATTAAAACAATATCATTCTATAAATTATTGAGTTTAGAATAAGGAATAATTAATGGAGATAAAACAGAAAGAACTTTAGATTATATAGAAGCTATGATTCAATTAGAAATGGATTTAAATAAAGTTGTAAGGTTGTTAACCTTAAGATCTTTAGTTGATGGTGGATTGAAATAGAAACCATTCGATTATATGAGAAGAGAGATTGTTCATGTATATGGATTTAAAACTATTGCATTTTTAAATAATTTATAGAAAGCAGGAATGGTATTCAAATCTGATGCCAAATAACTTTTCTTTAAATTGTAGGAATAATTTAAATTATTGAATGTGGATATCAGATCTGATGATACAGATCCAAAAGATCCTGCTTATACATATAGTGGTCACTGTCCTCTAATGTACTTTGATTCTAATGATTTAGGGCTCGTTTGACTGAAAAGATATTTGATAAGGGATCATGGAAACCTTACAAAACTCAAATGTAATTGATTAATGGTTTTCAATTAGAACCAGAAAGACCTATAAAATTAAATATACCTGGTAAAAAGCCTATTGTAATTATATATATACTTGGTGGAGCCACTTATGGAGAGATTGCATCTTTACGTCTTTTGGGAAAACAATTTAATAAGGAAGTTATTATTTGTACTACAAATATGACTAATGGTACAAAGCTCATTTCATCATTAAGAGAGAGAATTTGATAATTATATAAATACATAGACAAACTGTTGTTTAATACAATTATTTTATTAATTAATGTAAACAGAATAATTTTTTTTTGATTCTTCAAATACGAATGATAAGAATTAATGGGTTAAACTTGACTCTATTAAAAGACCCATTTCAACTATTAGATTATTTGAAGGGACTTTATTTATGAAGAGTAAAAAATAGGATATTTTCAAGCCTAAATTTTTTAAGTTATTTTCTGATAGGCTGAACATTTATAAAGTATGATTATATAATTTAGATTAATTATTAGAATGGTAGAGAATAAAAGGAAATAGCTGCCTTATTTTTGACAAATGTATATTTAGACTTAAAATTATTGTTTGAATATGAGAAAGATAAATTTCCTATAATTTTATTAAACGGAAATCGAAAATTAGTGTTGAATGCTCGCTCTTAAGAAAGTCAAACAAAATGGATTGAATAATTCAAAAAAACATGCATTCTAAATAATTATAGAGGTGTTTACACAAATATTAAAGTATTAGGCAAGGGAACATTTGCTAAGGTAATAAAATTCATAAATAAGGTTTTATTAGCTGAAAAAATAGTAAATAAATCGAAATTTGCTGTGAAAACTTTTCAAAAAATAGCGTTGATGGATAAAAATAATACTCAACGGGTATTTTCTAATTATAATAATCTTTTAGTAAGGATTATTAAATGAAATTAATTTATTGAGATCATGTGATCATCCAAATATAATAAAACTTTATGAAATATATGAAAGTGGAGATTATATTTATTTAGTTATGGAATTATTAGAGGGAGGTGAATTATTTGATTTGATACTTGAGACTCCTTAATTTTTAGAATCTAAAATAGCATTAATCATGTTCAAAATATTTGATGCATTGGAGTATCTTCA